ACTCTGTCTGGCTCTCTCTCCCATCCTCCTCCACCTCATCCCTAGTTCCTTGCAGTGCTTGTTTCTTGACTTCAGCAATAGCCCTGAGAGACTCTTCTTCTCCCTCTCCGTGCAAAGACACAGCCCTGTTGTGTTTATGGCAAAAGAAAGCCTACTTGCTCCCAGCATGACTGCTTGAATTTTTCCCTATCTTGTTCAAAGCCAACACACACTTTCTGTGTTTCTCTCCCTTCTCCTATGGACATAACCCCCCTTGCTTTTTATTCCCTCCGCCCACCATCATAGAATCATAGAATCAAAGAGTTGGAAGAGACCTCATGGGCCATCCAGTCCAACCCCCTGCCAAGAAGCAGGAATATTGCATCCAAATCACCCCTGACAGATGACCATCCAGCCTCTGTTTAAAAGCTTCCAAAGAAGGAGCCTCCACCACACTCTGGGGCAGAGAGTGTTTTGTTGTATGTTTTTGGACATCTCTACCCAACCTGTGAGATTCTCAAGCTTGTGCAATGAATCTTTGCACCTTTTGGGCTGCCCTTATAAAGATATCACCACAATCTCGACTTTGAAATCGTCTCATGGTAGCTCTTCATTTTTGAAGAGTGGAGAATATCAAAGAATTCTTCACTCAGAAAGTAGATAGGAAGGACAGCATTAAAAACAGGGCCGAAATTATAAAATATATGACAGTCGCCGCACAGACAACTGTGGTGTTGGGCTTAAAAGAGCAGAGAAAGTGGGAAGTTAAAAAATGGTTTGAATATTTAGCGGGTTTTATGCTCCAGGGTTACATCCTTGAAAGAACCAAATATACATCAGGTCGAATCCAGAAGAAGTGGGATCTGAAATGAGACATGATAGCCATATATAAATATATGAGAGGAAGTCACAGGGAGGAGACTAGGACGTGAAACAATGGCTTCAAACTACAAGAAAGGAGATTCCATCTGAACATTACGAAGAACTTCTTGACTGTGAGAGCCGTTCAGCAGTGGAACTCTCTGCCCTGGTGTGGTGGAGGCTCCTTCTTTGGAAGCTTTTAAACAGAGGCTGGATGGCCATCTGTCAGGGGTGATTTGAATGCAATATTCCTGCTTCTTGGCAGGGGGTTGGATTGGTTGGCCCATGAGGTCTCCTCCAACTCTATGATTCTATGAAATGCAGGAGATTGATAAAGGACAAGGAAAATCCAAAAAACTGAACCATACACTCCACAATTGAATAATTAAAATAATATTCGAATGAAGGAAAGTACTGTTCCCGGAAAGGGAGGGGGGAGTAGGGAAGGAGGGGAGTAATAATGTTGAGACACTTGTGGAAATTAAACATGGAATTGGTTAAGAAAATTAAGTGACTTATATGCTGTTTGTACTATGAAATAGTTACTGAAATTGACATTATTCCTGTGTTTACTATATATATATATAAAAGAGAATACCAAGCTTAATTGTTCAACAAGAAGCCTAGAATTGGAAGAAGAGACCAACCCCAGTCTGCCATTCAGGAACACAAAATCAAATCACCTCCAAGAGATGGCCATTCAGCCTCTGATTAGACACCACCAGAGAAAGTGATTCCACTGGACTCCCAGGCAGTATATCGCACAGCCAACAGCTCTTACCATCAGGACATTCTTCCTAACATTTAGGTGGAATCCTATACTAAAATAAGAAGATTTTACATCATCTCATTCTGAATATTTGTTCTTCTAAAGCAGTGGTTCCCAACTTCTTTTTGACGAGGGACCACTTGACCAGGGACTACTTTGACCAGGGACCACTCTCCAACATTAGTACCAAAAGCGTTACAAATCAGTCTTTGGTCAAGTTTAGATTTGGTTTGGTTATTTGGGATGCTGATTCAGAAAATTCAGGTCTAGTTTCTGATACAGAACATATGCCATCCAGTAGTTGCCATCTGCTCACCCACAGAAAACCATATTTAATAATCTAGAGCTGATGTGCTCTATCCAATGCGGGGTGACAATGTTGTGTCAAAAGCCAGGTATGCAAAGGGCCAACATTTCAGAATAATATAATTTGCTGTGTTTTTATTTTTATTTTTAACTGATTAACTTCCAGTTCTTGGTCCAGATCCATCATTTTTGAGTCCACAGTGCTCTCTGGGTGTAGATGAACTACAACTCCCAAACTCAAGGTCAATACCCACCAAACCCTTCTAGTGTTTTCTGTTGGTTATGGAAGTTCTGTGTGCCACGTTTGGTTCAATTCCATCATTGGTGGGGTTCAGAATGCTCTTTGATTGTAGCTGAACTATAAATCCCAGCACCTACAACTCCCAAATGACAAAAATCAATTTTTTTTGGTGATGGTCACTCCTTGGGTTAGTAGGTGTCTTGTAGCCAAATTTGGTGTCAATTTGTCCAGTGGTTTTTGAATTCTGTTAATTCTACAAACGAACATTTTTATTTATATAGATGACTATCCGTCCCCTGCCACGCGTTGCTGTGGCCCACATGGGGGTTCTGTGTGGGAGGTTTGGCCCAATTCTATCATTGGTGGGGTTCAGAATGCTCTGTGATTGTAGGTGAACTATAAATCCCAGCAACTACAACTCCCAAATGTCAAGATTCTATTTCCCCCAAACTCCACCAGTGTTCACATTTGGGCATATTGAGTATTTGTGTAGAGTTTGGTCCAGATCCATCATTGTTTGAGTCCACAGTAACTGAACTACAACTCCCAAACTCAAGGTCAGTGCCCACCAACCCTTCCATTATTTTCTGTTGGTCATGGGAGTTCTGTGTGCCAAGTTTGGTTCAATTCCATCGTTGGTGGGGTTCAGAATGCCCTTTGATTATAGGTGAACTCTAAATCCTAGCAACTCCCAAATGACAAAATCATGAGATGTTTTGTTGCCAAATTTGGTGTGATTTTGTTTATTTGTTCTTTTGTTTTTAAGGTACTCATTATGCACAGAGCATTTATATATATATAGACTAGCTGTCCCCTGCCAGGCGCTGCTGTGGCCCAGTCTGTTGATCTGGAAAATAAAGTAATGAGAAAGTGTTGGTTTCTAATATATGTAATTTCTTTATGCTTGTGGGTAAACAGTATTTCTTGCTGTTTCTTTGTCAGTGTTGATGTGGAGAGTGTCTGGTTTGCCTACTCTGGAATATGCAACATATCATTGTCCTTCTTTAGGGGTCCCTTTCAAATCTATGATACTATATCTGTGTGTGTGAATCATATCTATCTATCTATCTATCTATCTATCTATCTATCTATCTATCTATCTATCTAGGAGCCCCCGGTGGCGCAGTGGGTTAAAGCACTGAGCTGCTGAGCTTGTTGATCGAAAGGTCGCAGGTTCGATTCCGGGGAGCGGCGTGAGCTTCTGCTGTCAGCCCTAGCTTCTGCCAACCTAGCAGTTCGAAAACATGCAAATGTGAGTAGATCAATAGGTACCGCTCCGGCGGAAAGGTAACGGCGCTCCATGCAGTCATGCCGGCCACATGACCTTGGAGGTGTCTGTGGACAACGCTGGCTCTTCGGCTTAGAAATGGAGATGAGCACCACACCCCAGAGTCAGACATGACTGGACTTAATGTCAGGGGACAACCTTTACCTTACCTATCTATCCATATCTATGGCTGGATGGCTCTTTGTCAGGAGGACTTTGATTACGTTTTCTTGCCCTGATGAAGGGAGTTGGATTGGATGGCCTTAAGTATTTTCTGTTGGTCATGGGGTTCTGTGTGGGAAGTTTGCCCCGATTCTGTCGTTTATGGGGTTCAGAATGCTCTTTGATTGTAGGTGAACTATAAATCCCAGTAACTACAACTCCCAAATGTCAAGGTCTATTTCCCCAAACTCCCATCTGTGTTCATATTTGGGCATATTGAGTTCTTGTGCCAAGTTTGGTCCAGATCCATCATTGTTTGAGTCCACAGTGCTCTCTGGATGGAGGTGAACTACAACTCTCAAACTCAATGTCAATGCCCACCAAACCCTTCCAGTATTTTCTGTTGGTCATGGAGAACTGTGTGCTAAGTTTGGCTCAGTCCCATCATTGATGGAGTTTAGAATGGGTTGTTGTAGATTTTTTCGGGCTATATGGCTATGTTTTAGAGGCATTTTCTCCTGACGTTTCGCCTGCATCTATGGCAAGCATCCTCAGAGGTAGTGAGGTCTGTTGGAAATAGGAAAATGGGTTTATATATCTGTGGAATGACCAGGGTGGGACAAAGGACTTTTGTCTGCTGGAGCTAGGTGTGAATGTATTGTCGATACTGACCTCACCTCTGAGGATGCTTGCAATAGATGCAGGTGAAACGTCAGGAGAAATGCCTCTAGAACATGGCCATATAGCCCGAAAAAACCCACAAGAACTGAGCTAAGTGTGAATGTTTCAGCTGACCACCTTGATTAGCATTTAATGGCTTGGAAGTGCCTGGAGGGATCTTTTGTTGAGAGGTGATTTGATGTGCCTGATTGTTTGAGCAGTCTTGAGCATTTCCCTTTTTTGGTATGGGGATATAAGTGGGGTTTTTTCTAGTCTGATGGCCATTCTAGAAGATAGATTATTATTATTGAAAAAAAGTTGTTCCACTCCTTAGTAGTAACCCTACAAGTCCAATGGCCCTCCCCTCGCCAGCAAAGCCCTCGCGCCGCCAGGGCTCGCGCCTTCAGCTCAACAGGGCAGGACAGAGACAGAGGACACCCTAGCCCCGCCCTCTTCCCCTCCCCTGAGTTTTTCGGCCCTTGCCTCTTCTCCCATTGGCTCGTCCGTCCGTGCCTATCAAACTCCTGCCCGCACTGGATTGGCCCACTGCGTACAAACCAAGGGAATGCGCGTGCCTTGTGTCTAATAAGTCTCAGTGTTTACCTCCCTTCCCTTCCCTTTCCCCCCGCCCGCGGTGTCCTCAGAGGACTCCTTATTGGTGAACAGAAAGAGGGGCCTGGCCTGTGGAGGGGGGGAAAGGAAGGAGCCGCCCAGGGACTGGTGGCCAGGGCTGCCACTCAGGGCCGGCTGGCCCGGACATAGGCTCCCTGGAGAGGGGTGGGACTGGCTCCCAAGCCTGTGAGTCACCCGGGCTCTGCACAAACCATCAATCCCATTACTTGCCTTGTGCGGGCGGGCGCGCGGGCAGTCGGACGCTGTCGCCTCCTCCTCCTTCTCTTCTTCTTTCCTCACCTCCACCAGCAGCACTTTTTCACCTTCCTCAGCAGCCTCCTTCGGCGACTCCATGGCGAGCTGGTTGGACTTGTTACAGTGTCACATCCTTCTCCTCAGCCGTGGGGCCAACTTCCCTCCCAGCTAGGGTCCCTCTCCTCCTCCTCCTCCTCAGCAGCAGCAAAGTGATGGGATAGAGACGGGACCTCTGGAAGGAAGGAGGGAAGGAGTGAAGGAAGGTAAAAAGGAAGGACTCTGCTGTCTCAGCCACCCTCCACCTGGATGCCCCCTCTTCCCGCCTCCTGAGTCCCCCTCCCCTCAAAACAGAACTCATTCCTCTCATTTCCCCCTTTCCTTTGTCAACCTGGATTGTTGAAATCTTCCCAAAAGGGTGAGTAGAAGAGAATCAACTCTTGATTTGTCTTCTTTTCCTTCCCTGTTTCCCAAAGGCACCACATCTCTCTTATTTTGCAGGAAACGTGTGTATACTCTGGCCATAATCATGTCACTTGATCCACTGTGATCTACATTGTGATCTATTGTGATCTTGTAACTACAAGAAAGGAGATTCCACCTGAACATAGAAATGACTCAGTTCTTGTGGGTTTTTTCGGGCTATATGGCCATGTTCTAGAGGCATTTCTCCTGACGTTTCGCCTGCATCTATGGCAAGCATCCTCAGAGGTGAGTCCTCTGAGGATGCTTGCCATAGATGCAGGTGAAACAAAGTACCTCTAGAACAGGGGTAGGGAACCTTTGGCCCTCCAGCTGTGGTGGACTTCAACTCCCACAATTCCTTGAGGCTCGGCATTGGGCCACGGTAAGCCTTTGGGGCGAATGCCGAGCCTCAAGGAATTGTGAGATGCTTGCCATAGATGCAGGCGAAACGTCAGGAGAAATGCCTCTAGAACATGGCAATATAGCCCGAAAAAACCCACAAGAACTGAGTGATTCCAGCCATGAAAGCCTTCGACAACTTCCTGACTGTTAGAGCCGTTCAGTAGTGCGGTGGTTCTCAAACTAACTAATACCACGACCTCTTAATACAGTTCCTTATGTTGTGGTGACCCCCCAACCATAACACTATTTTTGTTGCTACTTCATAACTGTAATTTTCCTACTGTTATGAATCATTACGTAAATATCTGATATGCAGGATGGATTTTCATTCACTGGACCAAATACCCGATGTGCCCACATTTAAATACTGTTGGGGTTGGGGGGGGCTGGGGGAGTTGTAGTTGCTGGGATTTATAGTTCACCTACAATCAAAGAGCATTCTGAACTCCACTAACGATGGAATTGAACCAAACTTGGCACACAGAACTCCCATGACCAACAGAAAATACTGGAAGGGTTTGGTGGGCATTGACCTTGAGTTTGGGAGTTGTAGTTCACCTACATCCAGAGAGCACTGTGGACTCAAACAATGATGGATCTGGACCAAACTTGGCACAAATACTCAATATGCCCAAACGTGAACACTGGTGGAGTTTGGGGAAAATAGACCTTGACATTTGGGAGTTGTAGTTGCTGGGATTTATAGTTCACCTACAATCAATACTGTGCTGCCAAATATAACAACTTTTCCCCACCCCAATTTTGGGGGACTTGGTCCCTCTTGGAAACAAACTCCACATTCCAAGTATAGTCTCCACGTTGTGGAGTTTCCGTACATTCAATGTGCTGTGTGAAATGGGAAAATGTCAACTTAGAGGAGAGGAATTGTGTAGCACCCACATTAGGTATGAATGGTTAATTCTGAGGTCCCTTCCACACAGCTGTCCACATTGAACTGGATTATATGGCAGTGTGGACTCAGATAATCTAGTTCAAAGCAGATATTGTGGGTATTTCGTGTCAGGAGTGAACCAAAACAGTTGTATGGCATTAAAAACAAACAAACAAACAAAACGCAAAGTTTGCAGACTAGGTATTCTATTAAGTGTCCTTTGACCAGTAGTTGGCCACTTGGAGTGCCTCTGGTGTTGCTGCAAAAAGGTCCTCCATTGGTCATGTGGCAGGGCTCAGGTTGCATCACAGCAGGTGGTCAGTGGTTTGCTCTTCTCCAAAATCTAATAATTATATACATTTAAAACATTAAATCACATTAATTAATTAAAACCTGTTTCTGTTGCAATAACAGCCTTGTGGCCTTATCTGAGCTGAATTTTGTCGTTAGAGACTCCATCAAACATGTCCATAGTCCATTTCCATAGCAATTGCCATCATTGTCACTGTCATTGTCAGCAAGATTACCCAAAGGCCTGGTCCCACATCCACATTTTTACCTTTATTCTAAAGTAAACGAGGGATGTCGATAATCTAATTTCAACATGGAGTGAATTCCACAGACGGGGGGCGATCACCGAGAAGGCCCTGTCCCTTGTCCCCACCAAGTGCATTTGTGACAGAGGTGGGACCGAGAGCAGGGCCTCCCCAGAAAACCTTAAACTACTAGGTGGGACATGGAAGGGGATACGTTCGGACAGGTATGCTGGGCCATAACCGTATAGGGTTTTATAGGTTATTCTTGATAATCTGAATTGTGGACTGAAATCACTGCTCCTTCCTATTCTTAACCTTTTATCAGATGACATAAAGAAGTATTAGCCAACCAGGCTGTATATATCAACAGTGATTTTATTGACATTTACATTTTAAATTGATTTTTGTTAAAGCAATTATATTTTGTCCCTTTTAACTGTACACTAAAAGGAATCATACTGAATTTCTTAGAAAACCTGCGCTCTTCTGTCAAACATACGGAGTCGAAACCAGCTTTTAATGTAAAATCTGCTGCGAAAAACTGCGATGTTTTGAGGAGAAAGATATTATGTGACACAGTAAATGGTCTTATTGGTATATTTATTATTTCAGTTGTAGGATGAATTATTTGTTTTTGTGTCATAGTGAAATATTGTTGTCCAATTAAATGTTAGTTGTTTTTCAAAAACTGTGGGCATGTAGTATTTCATTAAGTGATCTTATTTAGTGTTCTCATGTGTATAGAGTTAAACTGAAATTCCTAACTTCGTTATTTCTGCCATAAATAGATAAACATTGTCAGTTTAAACAAATAATCATGAAATACACTGTTGCTGTCGGTGTATTTCATGATTATTTGTTGCTGTATGCCTCCAAGTTCAGGAGGCGGCAACAAAGTACGTTCCAAAGAAAAAGAAAACCAAGAAGGCAAAAGGGTGGTCTGCTGAGACACTGGAAGTAGCCCAAGAAAGGAGGAAAGCAAAAGGAAACAGTGATAAGGGGAGATATGCCCAGTTAAATGCGCAATTCCAGAGGTTAGCCAGAAGAGATAAGGAACTATTTTTAAATAAGCAATGCATGGAAGTGGAGAAGACAACAGAATAGGAAGGACAAGAGACCTCTTCCAGAAAATTGGAAACATTGGAGGTAAATTTCAGGCAAAAATTGGTATGATAAGAAACAAAGATGGCAGGGACCTAACAGAAGCTGAAGAGATCAAGAGAAGGTGGCGAGACTATACAGAAGATCTGTATAGGAAGGATAATAATATTGAGGATAGTTTTGACGGTGAGGTGAGTGAATTAGAACCAGACATCCTGAGGAGTGAGGTTGAATGGGCCTTAAGAAGCATTGTGAACAACAAGGCAGCAGGAGACGACGGGATCCCAGCTGAACTGTTTAAAATCTTAAAAGATGATGCTGTCAAGGTGATGCATGCCATTTGCCAGCAAATATGGAAAACACAAGAATGGCCATCAGACTGGAGAAAATCAACTTATATCCCCATACCAAAAAAGGGAAATGCGAAAGACTGCTCAAACTTCCGTACAGTGGCCCTTATTTCTCATGTCAGTAAGGTAATGCTCAAGATCCTGCAAGGAAGACTCCAGCAATACATGGAGCGAGAGTTGCCAGATGTTCAAGCTGGGTTTAGAAAAGGCAGAGGAACGAGAGACCAGATTGCCAATATCCGCTGGATAATGGAGAAAGGCAGGGAGTTTCAGAAAAACATCTACTTCTGCTTCATTGACTATTCTGAAGCCTTTGACTGTGTGGATCATAATAAATTGTGGCAAGTTCTTAGTGGGATGGTCATCCCAAGCCACCTTGTCTCTCTCCTGAGGAATCTGTACAAGGACCAAGTAGCAACAGTCAGAACTGACCACGGAACAACAGACTGGTTCAAGATTGGGAAAGGCGTACGGCAAGGCTGCATACGCTCACCCAACCTTTTTAACTTGTATGCAGAACACATCATGCGATGTGCGGGGCTTGATGAATGCAAAGCTGGGGTGAAAATTGCTGGAAGAAACATTAACAACCTCAGATATGCAGATGACACCACTCTGATGGCCGAAAGCGAGAAGGAGCTGAGGAGCCTTCTAATCAAGGTGAAAGAAGAAAGCGCAAAAGGGTTGCAGCTAAACATCCAAAAAACCAAGATTATGGCAACAAGAATGATTGACAACTGAAAATAGAGGGAGAAAACGTGGAGGCCGTGACAGACTTTGTATTTCTAGGTGCAAAGATTACTGCAGATGCAGACTGTAGCCAGGAAATCAGAAGACGCTTACTTCTTGGGAGGAGAGCAATGTCCAGTCTCGACAAAATAGTGAAGAGTAGAGACATCAGACTGGCAACAAAGATCCGCCTAGTCAAAGCCATGGTATTCCCTGTAGTCACCTACGGATGTGAGAGCTGGACCTTAGGGAAGGCTGAGCGAAGGAAGATCGATGCTTTTGAGCTGTGGTGTTGGAGGAAAGTGCTGAGAGTGCCTTGGACTGCGAGAAGATCGAACCAGTCCATCCTCCAGGAAATAAAGCCCGACTGCTCACTGGAGGGAAAGATACTAGAGACAAAGTTGAAGTACTTTGGCCACATCATGAGGAGACAGGAAAGCCTAGAGAAGACAATTATGCTGGGGAAAGTGGAAGGCAAAAGGAAGAGGGGCCGACCAAGGGCAAGATGGATGGATGGCATCCTTGAAGTGCTGGACTGACCTTGAGGGAGCTGGGGGTGGTAACGGCCGACAGGGAGCTCTGGCGTGGGCTGGTCCATGAGGTCACGAAGAGTCGGAGACGACTGAACGAATGAACAACACATGCCAAGTCATTTTTGCCTTATGGCATTCTTAAGGGGAACCTATAACATGGTGTGTGTGTGTGTGTGTGTGTGTGTGTGTTTTTTGTTGCAGAATCGAGAGAGCACGTCTTCCATTAGGTCACCTAGGCCCCTTCCACACAGTTGAATAAAATCTTGCATGATCTGCTTTGAACTGGAATATATGGCAGTGTGGACTCAGATAACCCAGTTCAAAGCAGACATACTGGGATTTTCTGCCTTGATATTCTGGGATATAGGGCTGTGTGGAAGGGCTTCTAGAGGTTTTCCATGGTCATGCAA